GTCGGCGCCCTCTGGTGTTTTGCGGGGGGGGGGGGGGGGTTCCCCAGTCTGACTTCACAGGTGGCGCCATCACAAGGCATTTGAAGGGGGAGGGGGCTTGAGGGCCGGGAAGGCCCCTGTTGAAGCCGGGTCGACGCCCCTTTGAGAAGAGCAAAGGCCTTTGCAGCGAAACCTCCAGATGAAACCAAACTCTTGTGGCACCTTAAAAGACTAAGAAGGTACCCTGTTTGCCTGAAAGGAAGACTAGGATTTTTCCCCCCAAAGGGCCATCCAGGAAAACTGGGGGCCATCTTCTATTCACATGCAAGTTATACACATACAAGTTACATATAGTAATAAATTTACCTGAAAGGATGACTAGGATTTCCCCCACAAAAGGTCCATCCAGGAAATCTGGGGGCCGTCTTCGATTCACATACAAGTTATCAGGGGTCGTTTCGTAGAAAAAGAGGTGCAGGGTCTAATTAGCATAACTCATTAGCATATGCCACGCCCCCTGACATCACCGGACGTGTGTCAGAAGGCAACAGCCACCGCTCAGGGGGTGTGGCACATGCAAATAAGTTATGCTAATGTGTTATGCTAATGAGCTCCTGCACCTCTTTTTCTACGAAATTACTCCTGCGGCCGGTTATCAGTGGGTGGGGGACCACAACCTTGCGGGGGGGGGGGCCACAGGTGGACGCCCACCGCCTCAGCCAAAGGCCTGTTGGAACAGCTCCGTCTTGCAGGCCCTGCGGAATTGAAGAAGATCCCCGCAGGGCCCCGATCTCAGTCGGGAGCATGTTCCACCAGGTGGGGGGCCAGGGCGGAAAAGGCCCCGGCCCTGCCCCAGGCTAGGCGGACGTCCTTTGGGCCGGGACTCACCGGGGGGGTCTCCGAGGCGTCTATGGGAAGAGGCTTGACTGGTGTCTGTCTCTCTGCCCCCTGCAGCCTCCGCTACCACACCCTGAAGCCCAATTACGTCCACGAACGCCTTCGGTGCCTGGGCAAGACCTACATGCTGCAGGTGCTCCTGGTTCAGGTTGATGTGGTGAGAGACTCCAGACCCTGAGAAGACCCTTCGCCCCGCCACCCCAGTCCTCCCAGCCGCCTCACACCTCCGTGCAGACCTTCTTTCACGTGGCTTCTGCGTTCTTCGCCCAACGGCCTCCTTCCTCGGTGGGGGGGGGGCGGCAGAGGCCCTGCGCCGCTGCCGGAATCTCTTCCCTTCTCCTCCTCTCCTCCCCTTCCCGCTTCTTCAGGCCCAGCGGGCTCAGTCTCTGCCCCCCCCCCTGCTTCCTTTAGAAAGACCCGCACCAGGCGCTGAAGGAGCTGGCAAAGATCTGCATCCTGGCCGACTGTACCCTGATCCTAGCTTGGAGGTGAGGGCGGGAACTCCGGCAGTGGGCGACGTCCCCATTCCCCGTGCCACCACCAGAAGAGCCACGCCGGCCAGCAGGCTGGGGGGAGGGAGGCAGAGGGGCGCCTCACCCATCTCCTCCTGCCCACCGGGCATCAGATTTGTCAAGTGCCCGCCGTACACTTCTGGAGCCATAACTCGGGGGGCCTAGCGGCACAGTGCCTTGCCCTTGCATCCTCTCCCCAGGTCTTTGCAGTCAGGCCTGCCCGGCGAGGTCTGTGCTTAAATTATTTAACTTCATTGTTCCCAGGTGTGCCCAAGCCCAGTTACGGTGGGGGTATATTTCGTTGCAAGTCCCCGTCCCCACTAAATGGCCGGGCAGTCCAGAATTGGTATAGAAATTTGTAAGTCGCCGCCTTGGATCCTGTTACTCTCACTTTAGTTCTTATCAACTGTATATGGAAATTTTAAAATTTGTGTCTTTGTTCTATGGCATTATGACCCCTTGTACGTCGCCTAGACCTCGGTGTGAGCTGGGATAGGGCGATTAACAAATATGATACTAATAATCATCATCGTGGTACGTGTTACTGGTAGGGAGCCGTTTTCCCAGCCTGAAGGGCCCCCCCAGAGGCCTGCTTCCCCCCCACCAGGGAAACTGTGAATTGTAGTGAGCAACGCTCAAGACAGTCACATGCCCTCGGGTGGACCTCTTGAAACAAGATTCCTCCTTTTCCACTCTGTAGCCCGGAGGAAGCCGGCCGCTACCTCGAAACTTACAAGGCCTACGAGCAGAAGCCGGCGGACCTGCTGAAGGAGAAGGTGGACCAGAATTACCTGTCTCGAGTAAGAGTCCCTGTAATGATTTCATGTTTTGGTGTGTGTGTGTTCCTTTAAATGTTTAGTTTTCACTGCAGTACTGAAAGAAGAGTGATAAAGGGAGTGTATTTTGATTGGCTGATGACTGAGAGTGTGGGAGGAGGGGTGTCCGAAAGGATTCTCTGTGTGTGTGTCTATGAAGTGATTCTGTGTGTGAAGTTCGAATCATAGAATTATGGAATGTTAGAGCTGGAAGGGGCCTTGCAGGTCATCTAGTCCAACCCCCTGCACTCTGCAGGAGCATAGCCGAAAGATAGCCCTACAACGTACCCAGAAAAGAGAGAGCATGGTCTGTGTGACTATGGAATTTTGAGTCTAATTCTGTGTGAATAAGGCCAACAGTTTAGTCTGTGCGACTAAGAGAGTTGATTCTATTCAGTGTGAATAAAACGAAGAGACTAGCCTGTGTGGCTGTATATATATGAGAGCTCGTACCAAGAATTGGGCATTGTAACGACTTTGGGGGTGAGATAAGCTTTGCCAGAGATCAGACGCTGAGTCGGTTCTGCCCCTTTTGCAGGCGACCGACTGCCTGACTAGCGTGAAGTCAGTGAACAAGACGGACACACTGAGCCTCCTCTCCACTTTCGGAGTGAGTAGCTTCTCTTCCGGGGTCGGGCGTAGAGGGGAGGTCCCTTCCCCTCCCCTTGGGCCTTACAGGAAGGGACACCATTCAGGTCGTACACCTCAGACTCCTGCCCTTTCAGTTAAGTCGCCTCCCTGCTGCAAACTTCGCCACCAAAGAAGGTTCTAGACCCCCCACCCAGCCATTCTTTGGAGCCAAGAATGGGGGGGGGGGAGAATGCCAACTTAGCTCAGAGGCTGTCTGTGGGGCATCACACTAGGATTAAGTTGCCACCCTTTAAACGGGTGTGTGAGGAATGTTTGGTTAAGTTGCAGCAATCCCTTGGCTTTTTCAAGAGAGGTTCAGAGGTGGTTTTTATCCATTGCCTGCCTCTGTGTAGTGACCCAGGGCTTCCTTGGCGGCCTCCCATCCAATCCTAAACAGGGCAGACCTTGTTCAGCTTCCAAGATCTGATAAGATCGGGCTAGCCTGCACCGTCCAAGTCAGTGCGGGAAGAAGAGGAGGAGATTGGATTTCTACCCCACCCTCCACTACCCAAAGGTGTCTCAGAGCGGCTTACAATCTCCTTTCCCTTCCCCTCCGCACAACAGACACCCTGTGAGGCAGGCGGGGCTGAGAGAGCTCTTGACAGAAACTGCCCTTTTTCAAGGACAGCTCTTATCAGAACTATGGCTTGCCCAAGGTCATCCAGCCAGGTGCAAGTGGAGGAGGAGTGGGGAATCAAACCCAGTTCTCCCAGATTAGAGTCCGCACACTTAACCATGACACCAAACTGGCAAACTAAGCCCTGGGGCACACTAAATTCTGGTTTCACCCCATCTGAGTCATGTTCAAAAGGTCCCTCTCTCTCTCATCCCCCGGATCCGAAGAAGCATGCCTGCAGACGGAAGCTTATAGCTTGAATAAACCTCTATTGGTCTTAAAGGTGCTACCCGGACTACTATCCCCGTTTATTTATTTTGGACACCCTCCACCAAGGCTCCCTCTAAGCTGTGGAGTCCTGTGAGCAAAAATTCTACTTGGTGAGCTCCTGGCATTCAAGTTGTGTGAGCGAGCGATTTGGCTACTGAATAAATTAGTTTGCTCTGGAGCCATCCCTTCCTGAGCTAAGGCAAAAATCTGTGAGCCGGAGGCTAAAAACCTGTGAGCTGGCTCACACTCAGCTTAGAGGGAACACTGCCCTCCACCCCACCTTTCAGGATAAGCGTTGCCCTCCAGAACTCTCACACTGTGCCGGGTTCTGTCCCTACTTAATTTCAAGGTTCTTCTCTTGCCTTGCAGTCCCTGGCCAGCCTAGGGGAAGCGTCCAAGGAAGAGCTGTCCCTCTGTCCGGGGATTGGGCCCCAGAAGGTAAGCCGGGAACACGTCCCCCGGGCTCCCCCCCCCCCTCACAACCCATCGACCAGTCCACTCAAGAGGGCGGGTAAAATACCACTTGCCCTCTCCAAAATGCATTAAAATCCTCCTTGGAATTAGGGGTGAGGTTCTGTCCCTCACGACTTAGCCAACGCTTGGAATACTTTTGAGTTCCGGAGCAGACGCCAGGCGGCGTGTGAGTGGCCACATCATCGGTTCAGCCTGTACAGTCCAAACCGTTGTATTGTTCTGCCCTTGGGGCTGGGGGAGATTTGGGGGCAGAAAGCTAAACGTGGTATTGGGCAGGAGTACCGCAGGGCGGGGAGAAGCTTCACAGCAGGTGGGAAAGAGCAGAGAAGAAAAGAGGCACTTCCTTCTCAGGGCTGAGTTCAAGAAGACCCTCAGAGATCCCTTGCTGGAGCGGCACCCCACTTTTCCCCTCCGTGGAAAAAAAAGCAGCAATTCCCCTCACCCACGCACACATGGGGGGAACATAGAGGCAGCTCCCATGGGGCCTGCAGGTTTCTCCCAAGGAGGCACGGAACACCTGGGAGGTGGTACCTGAGGACAGGGGGAACGGCACCTGGGGTTTTGGCCCCGCCCTCTCGCACATCCCAGTCTGGGCGACCCAATACAGGGTGGGGGGTGTCTCTCGCAGCTCCTACAGACAAGAGCCAAAGAGACGGACCGCCTGTGTCTTGTTCACAAGGCCCACGGAAAAGATGTCCCCGCCCCCACCGCCGCTTCTCTCTCCTCCCCAGGCCAAGAGGCTGTTCGATGTCCTCCACGAGCCGTTTCTCAAAGGCCCCAAATGAGCAGAGGGGCGCTCCCGGACCAGACAACTGGCAAACGGAAAGATCGTGCACGGGGGGGGCGGCAGTGCGGGTTACCCCTCCCCACCCGCACAGCCCCCTCGCCAGCAGTGCCTTCTGGGAAAACCAACAGGCTCGGCTCAAGCCGGCCCCTGGAAGGGGGAGAGAAGCTGCTTTCTGCCGGGTGGCCGAGGTGAAATTAACATATCACACCTTGCAATAAAAGGATTTTTGTTGTTCAGTCGCACAGTCGAGTCCGACTCTTCGCGACCCCATGGACAAGATCCCACCAGGCCCTCCTGTCTTCCGCCGTCCTCTGAAGTTGGCTCAATTTCATGTTCGTTGCATAGCGACAGGCAAAAAAGGCTGCCTGTTGGAGGGGGGTTTTTTTGGGGGGGAGTAGGGGCAGCCTGGCAGGTTCCAGAAATTTTGAAACTTAGAAAAAAACCCATTCCCAAAAATTGAAAAAAAATGCTACATTAGCACTTCTTTTTTATTTTCCAATTTGAAAGTCATTCTGTTACTTTAGGAACATAAAATATGACTATGGACATTTTTACTTGGCATGAAATTATCACAAGGAGCATATTAAAAATATAGTGTATCCACACAATGATTACAAACAGGATACCCACCCACATGCAAAAACAAAACTGAAACCTTTTTCTTGTCTTGTGGCAATAGCACCTCCTAAAGGAAGGAATGCATCTTGTTCTTGCATTGGAGAGTTCAGTTGGTAACCTAGGACTCGCTTGTCCTCGGTGCACAGATTGATCTGATACCATACATATTTTTTAGAAATGATTTGGAAAATATTAGAACACCTTGTCTTAAAATATTTTATTCATCGTGTTAAAATAAAACATTCCCTAATCAATTTTTTTTTTTTCAATTTTTTGGGGGAAAGGGGGGGGGCACGTTTTTTCCCCAGGCCTTCACATCTCTAGGCAGGTTATGCCCAGCAGCAGAGTAGCTCCCAGCCCTGAACGTGACACTCCCGGTTCCCTCTTTAGCCCCAAAGTGCAGGAATCAACCCAGAGGAGCCCACGGGATGCTTCCGCACACAGCACTCCCCGAGAATCCCAGTCGGGTGCCCGCAAAGAAGGGGCCGGTCTTTGCCGGCGGCATGGCCCCAGAAACAGTCCCCGCAGGAAGCGGCCATGAGCGGGTCAGCCCCAGCATCCCCCTGGGGGGGGGGGTGGTGTCGGGGCGGGGGCGGGACCG